AAAGGGTGCGATGCTCAGGCAAAGGAGACGTGGGCAGCAGGAGAATGGCCTCCTTGGCGGAGAGATTAGTGGGACATGCTAAGAGAAAACACACGGTTATGGAGAGCGTTACTGGTGAAGGGCGCCTAGAGAGAGGGTGAGATTGCAAATGAACCAGGCGATGTACCAGAAGCAAATGAGAGGCACACCATGCTGCAAGCGGGGTTAGCTCGACTTGGAAAAAGACCCCCGGAGCCTGCGGAGCAGCGGTGGCTGGGGCAATTTCAGCGGAGCTCCGGCACTGCGGGAGCGCTAGGCAGGCCAGCTCGGATCTGCTACGCTAAAGCACCGCGCTGCTGAGCAGGACGGGCACGCCGGTCCTCCCCGCCTGCCCGCGTCCCTGCAGCACCGACTGAACGTGCGTCCGCCTGGGACCATCCGGGCTCCGGTCAATGTGCAGGGTTTGCTCAAGCAGCCCTAGAAACTGCGTTTTTGTTGCCTGCGTCAATCCCACCCTTTCTCTAACCCCAGCCTGGGGGCTCTCCCAAGCCAAAGCTGCCTCTACTGCACAGGGTTAGACAGAGGACTTGCTAAATGCTTGCTTCAGGTCTAGCAGGATATGATGGCTGATCCAATTCAGATGCAGCATCCAGATTTCAAGGCACGACACTCAGCTAGCCAACAGAAAAGCCCGCCCCGCTAGCCCTCGGCATTTGGATTTGTGAATTCTACTCTTGCCTACATGTGGGGACCCAGGAAAACAGCAATGTGAGGGGTAGAAACCCAGAAGCAAATTGCTTGCCCCCCGTTAAGACAGCTTCAACCTGAAACTAGCCCGAGGAGATGCACAAGCCTAAAGCCAGCCTTCCCTCCTTCCTGCAGCCCTGAAACTGTGGCGTAAGAGCTTCAGAGGAGCAGAGCACCAGTGAGCGTTCCCCGCTGAGGAGGCACAGACTTCTCCCTAACCAACAGCCGGGCCCACAGAGCAATGGCTCTGCCCCTACGCGCGGCGAAGGTTCCATTGCTGGGCTGCTCCTGCCCTGCGACAGGCAGCCAGCTGCCTGCACGCGCCCCGCGGCGAACCGCTGCCTGCAAGCCGATTCCTTGCGACTCGCAAGGAATTCGCTCTGCAGCTGCAACGTTATTTGCTTCAGAGGCCAAGACATGGCAGCTTCAAAAAGCACAGACCTGTACGCAAAGCCCCTTCTATTAACGGGCAGCCCATCTCCCCTTTTGCTTTTACCCTGACCATGGTGCCAGAGAACTGTACAATCACAGCAGCAGGTTAGACTTTTGGGCTGGGTTTTCTTTAACGTGTGTTTATCGAGGCAGGACTCCATGAAAAACTTGCCCCGAGGCTGTGCAGATTCCCATGGTTACTGTATTTCTTTAAATGTTTCTCCTCCCACAGGCCCACAAATACAGAACGGCTTTGGGAAGCAGCACGGAAATGAAAGCACTAAACCGGATTGGTTCGAATTTACAAATGCCGCATGCTTTCTTTTCAACGGGCAGCAAAGTCTCTTGGGATGCGAGGCTCTGAGCACACACTTCCTAAAGGAAGTTTACTTTGGGCCTCTTTAAATAGGCAGCAACCCGTGCACTGCAGTTTGTACTTCTGATTTCTCACTAGATGGAAGGAGACAACAGAAACCCTTGGACTATTCTGCCTGATGGTACAAATTCCAGCAAATTCACCCCCTAGGCAGTCTCACAACCCATTTGAGTTAATGATGAGCCTGATGAAGGGAGACTAATCTAAGATGAAATCTGTGATAAAGGGATCCTCCACCAGACTTCCTGGGGTTCTCCAGCCACCCCTCTGCCACCGTGCTGGGGAGCTCCCCTCTTTTCTCCATCCTCCCTCTGCAGGTGCTCTAACCTCAGTCTTTACCATGGGCCAGTAAATTAACTATTGCTCCAGTTACTCGAGATATTTGGGTCATTAGGATGGGTCTCGTTTCTCATCAGCTCCCTCCTTTTGCTGGATGAGCTCAGAAGCCTCAGGCCAGCATGGGGGACGGAGGCGCAGTGCCAAGGGATGGAGCAGCGGGGAGCACGCCGGGGAGCACGCTGGGCAGCTGGAGGAAGCCTGGAGAGCAGGAGGAGGTTACTGGGCAAGGAGGACCATTATGCACAGGCACAGATCAACCTAAAGAAGCAGCAGTTACGGGTAACAGAAATTTAGGGCAGCCCAGGACATCCCCTCTGCAGCTGAGACGGGGGCCGACATTTTATATGCTACAGGCCTTTGTGTGAGATGCATTTATAGGCATCACTGACCCACTCCTCCGCCTGGCTACCAGCAAAACGGCTGTTTTTCCTACAAGACCTGGATGTTGCTGAAGTTTAGTCTGAGGCATGCAGAGTCATTCAAGCATGCACACTCGACGTCCCGCGCTCCCAACACAGCAAGCAGGAAAACGTGCCCCACCATGTCCAAATTCTCTCCGTGATGGTTAGCTGTGTTGGCGAGGGTGGGAGGAGCAGGAAGGCGAGAAAGCCATATTCCCCAGGGAAGAGCCAGAGAAACTGCATTTCATACGGATCTTGGGTCCACTGACTTCTCCCCTCCCCTTCCCCCTTCCCCCTTCCCCAGTAAAATAATTAGCCGTAAATAAACCAGTCAGTCATTAAGAGAAGAAGGGCTCTCGTTTGCCGTGGAGGTGTGAGCAGTGCATGCAAAAGTGGGCCGCTCCAGTGGGCAGCTGCGTCGCTTGGTGGGTGCCAGTTTGTTTACCTACGTGGCAGGGAACCTGGACTCGGGTTCATTTCAGTTATCCCATGAGACCTGCTCAATAACGGACTGTTGAAGGAAAAGGCAAAATAAAGGAAAAAAAGAAAAACAAAAACAAAACAAGAAGCTCATAAATCCTAAATGCATTGGCGTTCGCGCAGCCCCAGTCCTCCCGCCCCGGCAGCGATGCGAGCAGGCAGCGCGCCCAGGCAGAGCCCATGCTTGCTCTCCTTTCCTTTCCCCACCAAGCAACACACGCGGGGGACCACAGGATAAGTGCTCTGAGTTGAAGTGGTGGAGGGAAACCCAACATCAGACCTGGCCCAGCAGGTCTGGGCTGCCCCTGAAATGCGCAGAGATGCTCTGGGTGCAGCGCGGACACCCCAGGCTGATGACCTGCCACTCGCAGAGCGCGGGCAGGGACCGTTTCCCCAGCATGGGCACCGAGCTAGAAGCCTTTTGTCTGCCCAGCTTCTTGCTCCACCCAAGATCCCAACCACTTCAAACATCAGCATGAGACACCAGGTGAGAGGCAAAGCGAGTTTTGCCCATGCTGATCTTCCTTCCAACTGACCTATCTTTAACGATGCCTTCTGAGCGGCTTTAATTTGCCTTTTTTATCCCTGTGGTCCCACAGCAACAGCCGGTGCGTAACACGATGTAACTGGCTGTCAGCAGGCCAAGCAGGTGAGCTTGGCACAGCATCACTGGGCTTTGGGACCAACAGCAAGTACAAACGGCCGGAGAAACACGGGGCCGTCTGCACCATGTTAACACACAAGCAAAGCGTGTGTTAAATACGCCCAGGACCAAGGCATCGTTGTTCCATATAAAGACCAAAAATCTCCCAGTGATGAACACTGTAAAACCTAAAATGATGAGCACGTTTCCACTTATTGACACCATCTAAAGTTCAACTGAAAACGGGGAGCAAATACTGGGCGAGTCCTCCTGTGAAAGACCAAAGAACAGGGTGAACTTCAGCCTGTTTTTCAAGCAGGGAGGCAGCTTCGTGCCTTGACCTCAGGGGGGTCAGGAGTGCGTGTGCCCTGCCGGGCATCGCGGGGGGAGCAGCCCTGCCTGGCTGCACAGCCATCCGTTTCGCAGTCAAAAGCTCACTTTTGTCCCGGTGCCATCCAGCCTAGCACTAGTGACCAGGAAATTCTCATTTTTTCTTCCCCTACCAATTTCTTCCCACCCGGGACCCCCACCGGAGAGTAACACTGGGCCTTTTCATCACAGGGGAAGGAAATCTGAGCTCACCTTTGACCTGATATTCCTTAGTTGCCGGCTAACACTGGATCTGTCTTTCTTCAAGAAATCAGGGTTGCTTTTTGATTTCATAATATCTGCGGAGAAGCAAAAGAAACGGCGTTAGCACTGTGCCCAGGGGCTTCCTGCATGGAGCAGGGCTGGGGCTCTTCTGCCCTCCCAGCCCGGGCACGTGCCCTGATGAGCCCGACCGGAGCAGCGCTGCCGGAAGGGCAGAGGGGACTCTTGGGGGTCTCTGCTCCCCTGCACTGCATGTAGCATGAGGTTTTCCCAATGCAAAATGCCAGAAGGCTTTCAAAGCCCATCAGCTTCCCCTCCATGGGGCTGGAAGGAGGAACTGCCATGGGAAGGCAAATCAGGTCTGCCTGGTCCCTGCCATCTCCGGTGAGACTGTCTGCAAGGAGCAGAGGTGGGAAGCAGCGTGAAATGGCAAAAAAGCCCCACCCAGACCATCACTGCACAAGGGCTGGTATGCCAGGATGCACGTGTTAGCTCGGGAAACCCACGATTGCTTAGAGCTGCTGGAGAAGGACTGACCATATCCCGATACAGTGGTGTTCACAGGGGATTTCTCTCCCTGAGCTTCTGTGGCTGCTTTCAGCTGCTCTTTCAACCTGCTGATATCACAGTCTGCCTTGGCTTTCACGATGCTCAGCTCCGTGTAGATGTCTTTGTACTTGTCGCTGGCGTATTTCTTATCCTGGCAAAGGAACGAGAACAACCCAGCGGAGTCAGACAGACAGCTGGAGCCAAGGGGTTTGTGAATGCACTGAAGAGGAGCTTGGCAAACGCCAATGTAGGAAGAAGAACCGGCAGTGGGGAGAAATGCTCGGCCGGGGCAACACACATTTTACACATGCTCTCGAGGCCGTGTCTAACAGCGGTACAGAACTTGAGACAGGCAGAAAGCTGTGAGCCCAGCGGCGAGCATGCAGCGCTGCCCGTGCACACGGGCCCCTTCGTTACAGAACTACTTGTTTGTGGGTTTCAATTTTAGCAAAGACACGGAATTCAAGCAGAATTCCCAGAAACGGCCTTGGCAAAGAGGCCGTCCAGTGCAAACCAGTTCCGATGCTGGGAGGCTGGGCAGATCTCTAACACTGATTACTTTTGCCATTTCAAGTCTGATCTGATGTGACAGGAAATAGAAAAAACACTGAAGGGGACGTTTTCCCACAAGAAGGGAGAAGGGGTAAGTCCTGAGCTGATACAGTTGTGGAGCGCTTTACTGATGACACCAAAATGGGTATTCAATTCTATTCAGGGGAAAAATTAAATACTGTTTCAAATCTGGGGATAAGTGAGCTGAAATCTAAGCACACACACAGAGGAGCAGAACACAGCCTGTGAGAAGATGTGCAGAGACATCCCTGGGCATTACCCTCAGTGCTGTCTGCAGCTCGTCTTTGAGGGAGCTGATCTCCTGCTTCAGGTACTGGATTTCCGATTCTTTGACCCGCAGCAGGACCTGTGGGAACAGAAGCAGCGTGTGTTCGCACCCGAGCAGACACTGCGCAATCCCGAGATGCTCGCCTGCTGTGCCCAGTGACAACCGAGCCAGGGCTGGAGGCTCAGCCCTGTGCTGGCTCCACACCAGCACCACAAAGCTGCTGGTTCACCCGTCTTCTGGTTCATGCAAGAAAATTACTCCTGGGTCTGTTGGGAACTTGCCCAAGCTCACACTGCTGACACGCTCCCTGCACAGCCCTCGGTTTTGGTTGTCCCCACTGCTTTGTGCAGACTGAATCCCAAGGGACAAGCAGGGCTGGAGAAGGAAGAGCAAGCTTGACATGGTGAGAAGGGAAGATTAGGACTCCAAGAGCTCCTGGCCCCGTTGCACCCCCGATGCATGGTGCTGACCAACCACGCAGACCTGATGTGCAGAGGGATGGATGGCCACGGCACTGTCCTGGGGGTCCGCAGGCACTTGTGCCC